ATCCTTGTAGATTTGAAGGGATTCTTGTATCACTGCTTGAAGGATAAGGGCAGGAATATTTTTTTTATATTAAATAACATTATTCATAGTTCTGAACTCCTTATAATAAACTTTATGCGTAACCTAACCCATGTCTCTTTACTGCTTAATATAAAATTCTGAAGGGGTAGTGAAATGTAATATTGTGAGGTTTTTGTACTAGAAATGTGTAAGGTTTTGTCCTTGAATAAGTTTACTTTATAAATTGAAATCATTCTGAACATGTTTCCGTCTACGGCTTCGCCAGCTTGGTATGTTGATAAATAGTAGTCTGTGTTAATCCAAGGTATAACCTATCTATATAATATGCTCTATCTGCATTGGTCTAATATTGTATTTTTAAGGCGCACACAGAACGCGATGCTAAGGCGCATTGCGTTCTGTATGCGAATATATCAGAGAGGTGCTGCTTCCTTTTTGTACAATGTGTAGTTATTCATATTCCCTGCCCTTTCTTCCCTCTACTCCCTTTTCTTTATTCAGTTCTTAAAACTAAAAAAAAAAAACAATTACCCGACATAATACCTCCTCCTTTTTTTTGAAGTCGGTAAGAAGGAGGGGTGGTTTTACAACAGTTTATTACTTGTTCTTCTCTTAAGTCTAGACCTACTCTAGATTCTAGAGTCTAGAATCTACATTAAAACGAGCAACTAGCTTTAATAGAGTCTGAGGACTGACCGACATAATCACACATTTTTAATAGTAAGTATTGTGAGGCATATCTATCATAATGAGCAGCGCGTCACAACGACGTCGTGCAGCCGACTACGTGTCTTTGCTGAATAAGAGGCCCGTTGTAACTTGAAACAAGTCGACCTTTTCTCTATTAATTGAAGTGAGTTAGGGCTGATTTTTCAATAGTCAGCTAAATGTTATCTAAAGAATAGAATTGTTGCTGCCACTGTCTTATACAAACATTCTGACACGACAGCATCATAATCATTCCCCAGATAACCATTGAAAAATCAGCCCTTAGTCGCTACTTTCAATCTAATGCTAATTTTAACTTTGTAATTAATTGTTTTATTCGGTATTTAAAACTGCCTTATATTCGTCTATAAATGATTTGACGTTGACTCCGGTAAAATGTATTTGTCTCTTACTCACCAAACACATCTTAGGCATTAATACACTTTTTCATAACCATGTTATTTTAGGAGCGAGACAGATACATTACTTTGTTGCCAAAGCTATCATCACTTCAGGGAGACATCGTAAAAAACATTTTATATGAATCAGAAATCAAATCATGCATAAGTTAAAAGGTTATACTCAAAGAAGGCCTGACTCTGACATTTTATTTCCCATAGGATTTTATTTAAATTAATTTTAAAGGTCACCACTGAAGGGGTACTCTGAAATCCGGACAGATATCATCTCAAGGGACGACTTAATAATAATAATAGATTGATTTAACGAAAAAGAGTAAGGAACTAACAATTATTTATTTTTACGTAATATTTTCGTAGTTTTAGTATCCCTAGTAGTATAGAATTTATAAGAGTAGGTACATCATCACATATTCAACCTATAAATGCTAAATAAATGCGTCTTCTAACACTGAGAAGGTTCATTAATCACCATTAACCATCATGCTTGGTTCTTTTTCATTTGTCATAATGTCGGCAAACGAGCCGAGAGATTACTTGATGGTAAGCAATCAGCATCGCCCATGGACACCCGCAACGGAGGAGTAACGAGTGCATTGCCGACCTTTTAGGGATTAGGGTTTTGGAGATTCAGGGATCGGGGGAGGGGAAGGATTGGGCCTCCGGTAACCTCACTCACACGGCGTAGAACCGTCAAGGCGGATTGGTGTTTTTAAATTTATTACTAAAATATTGATCTGAAGAAGTTGCCTTATGACTTTTTTTGCCTTTTGTTTATAGTGTCTAAGTACAGTTAGAAAATACAATAACTAAAAAAAGTCATGTCGGAGGACCGGGAGCCTTAACCTCGGGGTCTACACAACAAGACGATACTAAAAAGGTTATATTATTATTTAACTTACTAACAAACTCAATGATATCTTTAGGCAAGAGAAAGTTTATATGAAAGCAAAAAATAAATATAACATAATAGTCTAGAGATAGAGAGAGATATATTTAAGAAATGAAATTAAAGTGAACGCCAAAACACAAACATTAAAATAAACATTATAATTGTGTTCTTTATTTAAATACATTCATAAAAATCATTTTGCTGGCCAATTAGTCAGAAAATATTAAAACAAAATGTTTAACTTCTCAGATTTATAGACAAGATACTAAAAAAGTACTTAAGTGAAAACAATTTTGTTTAAAGTTTCTCTTAACTGGCTGATACTAAAACGACAATAACAAATAAAAAATAAAATCGCTTATCTTGACAGTAAGTAACCCTTTGCGAAAACAATACAATTTGAATTTCATTTTGCACTATAAGGCTCAGCCTTAACTGGTGCTACAGGAATTTTAAGCCTTAATTATGTGAAATTGAAGTTGAAACTTCTTTAGCAGCCGCTGTCTAAACATAACAGCGATAAGGAGACGTGGAAAATGTTATATGAAGTTCCTTCAACTCTTAATATGTGCCTCGATGTAAATTTACGCTCAGTGCAATAACGAAATGTGAAAATGTTCCATGAATAGCTTTTCTCTCGTGTTTTGAATATGGAATTGGAAAATTAATTACTGTTTTTTTAAATTCTATATTTGGTATTTTTATATGATATGGTGGTAAACGTGAACACGGTTTACCTGGTGGTAAGCAATCGGCGCCTGGAGATCCGTTGCAGGCCTTTTGGGAGTTGTAAGGAATTCAAATATTGGGGATATGGGGAATGGATATGGGTAGTATCATTTCTGTAGAAACAGCCAATTCGTGCTAAAGCATGTCACAAGAATGAGATATCTTTATCTATTTAAATTGAACTTTTTACGCTTGAAAAAAGTGGTTAACAATTGCCTTATTCGTAGTTTACAATTAAATTATCAGCAATATATTTCCTATGAACGGCCAATGAACTTTAAACTCACACAGACACGCAAAATACGACCGTATTCAGGATTTTATTTAATAAGCTCTGTAAACTACTTAAAGTCCTAAATCGCATAGCAAAATCGGACGATTCTTAATTTGAATCAGTGTGAACCCGTACCTACGTTTTATTTCGAACACTTTTAGGGTCCCACTTAATTGAAACGATTACAGAGTAATATCGGTTTTTACTATCCCAAGGGTCGTTTGTGAGTTGTTAAATCTAACATTTGGATATAACGGTAATGGCGATATCAGAGACTTGGTAATTGCTGTTACAAGGCAATGGTACACTGAGTATAAATGCGGAATACAAATGAACTTGAAGTAATTACATTTATTATGTAAAGTAATCTTTAACTGGGGTGGTATGAATTTGGTTGAAGTTTTGCCATTGAATGTGCTTCTCATTCACGAAGAATTCGAAACCTGGCAAGTACCAATATGGCTTGTTCCGAGTCATACGTAGATTCAAGTCCAGACACAAGTCAAGTCGTAAGACACCACAGGCTTACACGTACGGTCAAGGAAAACCTTGTGAAGAAACCTGGACTTATCATTTTTATGTTTAATTTCGAAATAGCTAATCCATATTGAGTAGGCGTGGTGATTAATGCTAGAGCCTTTTCCGTGTCAGAAGCAGTTAGCAGTGGGCACTTATAAGTTGATGATGTGATGTAATATTGTGTCTACATGTACTATGGGTACACAATACATAAACTTAATGATTTAGGCATTCTCTACAACTCGACCCTTGTTGGTGAGCTAATAGTTGGTGCAAGACACTAGCGAACAGACTTAATTAATTCTATATGAGAAATACAAGATTGTTTAAGTTGTTTTAGGCAAGATCAGAATAAATTGCCTTAAAAAATTGATGCCTTATTTTTATTAATTGTAAAACGTGTCTAATCTAACAAAAGCAAATTGGCACATAGGTATTTTTTCGAGAGCGAGTACAAGGCTCATCTACACCTACTAACATAATAAAGAGGTAAAATTTGTAAGTTTGTATGTAGGGGTAATGTACCGTTGGTTGGATTTCCAAAATTCTTTCACTGATATATAGCTACAATGTTTCTGAGCGCTATAGGCTATGAAACATCACGCTACGATTAAATAGAGCTGAGCAGCGGGTGAAACCGCGAGAGAGTAGCTAGTAATAACTAAAAACCTACTGCGAAGGAAAAAACTCTTTTTAAGCCAAACTTTTTCTAGAAAAAAAAACAAAAGCAACAAGTCAACATCGCATTGGAAACCTTCCAACCTACAACCATTAGTTCTCTATACCAAATGGCAGGCTATCATTATTATTTAAGAGATAAAAGGAGTGCACAAAATCCCTCGGTTGCCATGGTAACACCTGAGGTTCTCTCAGGCTTGACCTCGGGCTTAAGCTGCCATTATATTACAACAGCTTACTATTTTACCATCGATTTCGTATTTTAAGCGAGCTTTGGCACGTGTCTAGGATGATAATTTTCTTATGGCCAAAATAGGACAGTGGGGTGACTAAAAATGTACATATAAGTATACTTTGAAATAGCAGTAATCATATCTAAAGAATATAAAAAAAAACTCTGTATGAAATTCGTTAAATGACATGAAACATCATGAAAATATGGATTTAAAATAATTTTCTCTCAATAATAAATTAAATGTTATGAAAAATATTAAATTTAATTCTTAAACTTAACTCTTAAAGAGTATAGATTGATTGCGTGCCATGTTTTTCTGTTTTATGCACGAATGCATATGCATTGTATCCTTTGCTGCGAGTGCATATGCATGATTGCATATGGTTTTTTTGTAAGGGGAAAATCATCAAATGACTTCTCCCGCCCAGGGTAAGGCGAGAGAGAGTGTCAGACTCTTACTGACTAAAACCCCCCCCGTTCCTTCTCCTGCTCTGGGCCAAGGTCGCGGTGTCTTATTGCGCTTACCCCGCAACCCCGGCTGAACATTAGCTTTATAGGGTCCCGTCTGTGGTAGTCTATTGGCACTTTGAGGCGCGCGCGGAACGCTACGCGCCGTATGCTCAGGTCTGGTTCTAGTTGGGCGGCTACCCTTACTCGCCGTTTGCAGCCTGGATTTTTGTCGCGGAAGTAAAACTAAATATATTTCATAACATTTAATGTCATGCATTTCCGCAAAGTAATGCCTGATTCTATTGTTTATCAATAATAAATGTTTTTTATGTACCTACAGTAAAAAGTATGGATACAACGTGGCTTTCTCTTTTTTCATCTCCAAAAAAGGTGTTATAATAAACTAATTTCTTATACAGTTTTAAAAGTAATTTTCTCGATTAATGTAATAAATATGAAGCTCAAAAATTATTTCAAAATCGTATAATTTTATTCAATAAATGAATGTTACAATCAATTAATAACAATTCGCAGCGGTGTTTAACAGACAACATTATAACAAACCAATTAAAATTAATTTCTTAATTAATCGTTTGCAAACAACATGAGTTTGGTTGACATGTTCCAATATTTAATTATATTATTTAATTAATTATATCAATTGAATTTATATGATACCGATTCGTTCCGTATTCGAGTGGGATATCGAGTTCACCGATTAGGAATATGATAGTACTTTTGTCGCTTTGTCAGTTTTTTAAAAATAATACAGTAAATAGTTATTCTCCCGCGGTTGCACCCGCTGCTCGGCTCCATTTGATCGTAGCGTGATGTTTTATAGCCTATAGCACTCAAATACATTGTAGCTATCTGTCAGTGAAAGAATTTTGGCATTCCGACCAGTGGTTCCAAAGATTATCCCCTACATAGAAATTTACAAATGTTACCTCTTTATAATATTAGAATAGACAATAAATAGTTAGTATAGATTCTAGATTAGTATTGTGTTTGCTTCCTTTTACTTATATTGTTGATAATATCATTAGCTGGGGCATCCACTACTTAGTAAAGGATGTTTTGTTTAGTGAGTTTGCAATTTGTCCCAATCTTTATAGGCTAATCGGTGATTATAATATATTTGTAATGTGATCCACAACTACTTTTTTTTACATTCTTCGTTTATTTTAATTATAAATTTTATATGCTATTTGACTTTAAAATATGATGACATAGCAAATTTGTATATCTCATACAAAATTCTAATATTTTTTAATTTGAATAAAACTAAAGAATTCGACTTGTTGCCCAATACGATATACTAAAAATGACCTTGTGACCTATAGAGTAAGTAATAATAGAGTTAATAATTCGTTGAAACTATGTTTAGTAAATTGTCAACTGTTGTTTAGTAAACGGCCTCATTAAGTTTTGAATTCTGATTAAGTCGTTTAGTAGAAGTCGTTGAGAACTTTGTACATAATGGGAAACATTTTGTCTCTATTACGAATTAGGATTGGTTTTGAATAATTTAAATGGTTCTAATAATTTAATAAATCAAATTTGTGTGTCGGAGACTTACTAGTTCATGATACACTAGGTTCTACCCGCTGAAGACTCTGAGACTGGCTTATTACTTACTTCCACACGCGGCTTCGGCCACGTGGTAGGGCTTACGTGTTAATTGAGGGTATCATCTGTGTGTATAGACCAGATTTCAACAGAACCGGTCGAGCCGTTTACGCGTGGAAGAATAACAAATACATCCACACATTCTCATAAACTACTGGTAGGATAGGATAGACTGATAAGGATATTCTGCACCAAAATATATTTTTGTCATTGCTGGTGTAAACGCAATAAATGTAACGCGACCTTTGCTTGGAGCGAGAAAAAGAAACAGGGTGGTTTTTGAGTCAGTAAGAGTCTTACTCTCTCTGGCTTAGAGCGGGAGAAATCATCTTAAAAATTTGTAGGATTATCATACATGGTGAAGATCTTCTGATTTATTTCGTCGCGGAATCCAAGACAGTCATTCATGTCCCTGGGACGCGCCGGTGTTCATTGTTGCGGTGTTTTCATGGTTGTTTCTACTGTAGATCTTGGCTTACAGGTTTCGCAGCGGTTTCGGGAGATAGTGGCGGGCTTGTCCCATTGAAAGAAAATACATGCTGAGAAAATACCGAAAACATCGTAAAGCCAGTAATAGACCAGGTTGGTCTATTAACGCCTGGAGCGTTGTATTCCTTCTTTCTTTGCGAGAGAAGAGGCCTTTGCTCAACATTGGTCAAGATATAGTTCGAAAACAAACATACATGTAAGTAAAAATATTAACTAATTACGTAGCGCTATTCTATGAGGACCGATGATACTGCATTGCCCCACATCCTGTCTACTGCATAAACTGCTGATGCATCTATGACGTCTATCGATTTCGTTAATTGATTTGAATATAAAATATTGTTAGAATAATATTCCATATTCCGACTTAGATGTGGAACATTGTTTATTAGGGTTTATTTGTAATATTAATTTCTATTATAAATTTATTTTTATAAGATCATTTCGTAAATAATATAATATATAATATAGTTCATAACTTCTTACAAAATAAACAACTGTTACTATAATTGAATTGCTTCTAAAATATTAAGTTCCATTTGTATCGTTCTAAATGTTCAGTCGTTCATTTTTTAGAAGCAGGGCATGGTCACTGGCCAGTCGAGCGTGCCATTTGTAAATGGAAATGTTTTTATTTACCCCCGACACCCAGCATATTGGTTTAGTTTATTTATTTAGTTTTGTTACAGTTTTATTTAGGTTGGTTGTAAATTTATATAAAATAAACTAGCTGTGCTCCGCGGGTTCACCCGCGTTTTTGACGTTTCCGTGGAAATACCGAGATAAAATATTGCCTATATTATAGACTATACTATCAATAAATGGACTATTAAATATTTAAACAGTTTTCATAATTATCAGATCAGTATTTCTCGAGATTATATCGCCTTCATAACAAACAACCAAACTTTTTAGCCTTCCTAGATAAATGGACTACACAACACTGAAAGAATCATTCAAATCGGACCAGTAGTTCCAGAGATTAGCGTTCAAACAAACGAACAAATAAACTCTACAGCTTTATAATATTAAGTACAGATAGTTAATGTATTTTGTGACGTAGTCGTTAAAGGATTGAAGGTACTCTAGGATCATCAAAAAGTATTTTTTATGTAATAGAACGGGAAACGAGCGGACGAATGAGCTAATGGTAAGTAATCAACGCTGCCCATAGAGACACCCGCAACAACATAGGAGTTACGAGTGCTTTGCCGATCTTTTGGAGATTATAGTTTGGGGTTAGGGGAGGACAAGGATTGGGCCTCCGGTAACCTCACTCACACGGCAAAATACATCTCTCTTGATGTTAAACGCCAGTTTTCTGTGAAGCCGTGATATCACTGTGAAGGTCTAAGATTCGAGGCATAGGCAAGAGATAGGCAGTCTCAGAAACAAACGCAAACGAACTAAGAAAAAACTTAAGTCTATAAGATACAAAGTTACGAAGAAAAATCCAACGTTCACTATACAAGATTAAAATAAAAGAATAAATATAAATTGCGAAAGTTCTTTGCATCATTTCTTGTGAAGATTTCTTTAATCTGGCCTGTGGAATAATTGCTCTGAGCCAAGATGGCCCAAGAGACGCTAATTTCTTCACAAAGTCTTAGAAATGCCGTGAAAAAAGATTTTTTTTCTTGAGCCGCGTTAATTTCTTCCAGTCCGCCATGTAGCTATGGAGCAACCCAGAGATGTATACTATTAAGAATTATATACTTTATACATAACGTCTTTTTATTTTCAATAGACAGTAAGCAGTTGTAGTGGCATGTAGTGGTTGATTAACTTTGCCCTATGATGTTACGACCAATATCTAACAAATAAAAAAATAAAAAAACAAAAAAAAAATCAATCTAATCCAACTATTGATCTGTTTGCAGATGGATGAAAGAAAATTTTATTAAGAATTGTAAATATTTTATAAATTTATTTTGAATATTGTTCATTTTTCTTTTTATGTTTAAAATACATTTTGGTGTATTTTTGTTTGTGCAATGTACAGCTGTACATTACATACATATCTGCAGATATGTATGTACTTATATGATATTATTTTTTTTGTTAATATTAGAACTTCTATGTTTTATTTTTATTTTTTTATTCTTTAAAAACGTTGTCCCACACTAGGATTTTCTCCTGTGTCGTGGGTGCGTTTACAAACATACAATTTCACAAGCACATCACACCCAGACCCGGAACAACAATCTGTGGATCACACAAAGAGTGGTTCCGTGCGGGAATCGAACCCGCGACACGTTGCGCGGCTGCCAGTTGCCTAGCCACCGCGCCAACCGTGCAGTCAAATTACTATTCTTTTGCATTACTATTGTCTACATTGCATTACTATTGTCATTTATATTACTATTGTTTTGCATTTTCATGTGATTGGGTTGTACTTAAATCAAATCTGAATTAAAATAAATAAAACAAGGAGGAACCCTATAATCATAACTCAGGCATAAGATCTTAATCAGTGGTATTACTGTTAAATTTTAAAAACTCAGCACCACAATAAACCTACTGGTGACATCTCGCTAAACGAAGAATTGAAGTAAACGGTAATTAAGTTAGGACATAAAACCCGAAAAAAAAACCCGCAGACCTACATCCAAAAAAGTACTAACCACTTTTCAGACCAAAACTTCAATTATAAAGAGTTGTTTGAAAAAACCCCATTTCGTACACAAACGAGGAAAGTTTTCTGTATCAAAATTGTTGCCTTTTTCTTTAGTTTTAATTAAGCCTAGTCTTATAACCCGGAGTTGACTGCAAAGTTTTCTTTTTAATGAATAACAAACCGTACTGCGGAATGACAGTTGCTGCTATTAAATTAAATGAAGTTGTGTCATGTTTCTTTATCTTAATGGTAAAGAGTAAGGTACTTAAGTAGAATAGTATTGTTTTCATTTGAATATCTTTGTAACCTTATGGAATTTAGGAAATTAAGCCTTATATATATGTATATAAGCCAGAAAATCACGTAGATTTTCAAGTCAACACAAAAAGTTGTTTTGATCAAAATAATTATAAATGTTGAGCTATGATTAGGTTGAAATTTGAAAAAATGAAGGAAATTTTGTGTTAATACATAATCTGGACGACTCAATACAGGGTGACATTTTTTACGAGGGACATATGCAAGGACCTGATTCTGGAGCTCAAATAAAAGAACTTTTTCCATAACACCAATATGGAAACCTACAAAAAGTTAAATGTGAATTACTGGACGTTTTGTTTTGATTTGAGGGTTGGAAGTGGTAAAGGAAGTCTTTCTGCCTTCCTTCTTGCTTCCTTCAAAACACAAGCCTTGATCCAAGAAGGATCAAGGCTCTCCCGTACTTAAATTAGTATATAAAATTAAAATAATTTTTATTTTGATTAATAAAATAAATTAACCAGCTCTAATTTATTTAATTTCTAAGAACTAATGGTCTGAAAAGTAATAAAAGTCCATTTAATTAATTTGAAAAACTTAAATGATTTCACTTCACAAAATTAATGAATTCAATTCAATTTAGTTTATCAAGTGACGCTAATTAATTTATCTTCGTCATTGCATTGACCAAAATAATTAGCTGAAAAACTTTTTTTATACAGACGATTAAGAGTCGCATGAAAAACTAATTATAGACAAGGTATGTAGAAATTGATTTCTTTTTTCAAATACACCTTATATTGCAGACTAACATTATCTGAGGGTTGCGGGGTAAGCGCAATGAGGCACCGCGACCTCGGCCCAGAGCAGGAGAAGGAACAGGGGGGTTTTTAGTCAGTCTGACACGATGGGCGAGAGAAGTCATTTGATGATTTTCCCCTCACAAAAAAAACATTATCTGAATATTTTTTACGAAATTATTAGTACAAGACATTAGGGGCGTGGGGGACCGCACTACGATTCCCGGCCACTGTAGGCGAAGGTCTAGGGACGGCGACAGCAAGTGTAGCTCGCCGGTTGACCAGAACCAGAACCAAGCGTACGACGTGACGGGCCGGTTAGAGGGCCAATATATCACGACAGATCCATCCGGTGTCGCGGGGTAAGCGCTATCAGGTACCAAGACCTCAGCCAGGAGAAGGAATGGCAGGGTTTTAAGACAGTGAGAGTTCAACACTCCCTCTCGGCTTACCCTAGGCGAGAGGAGAACTTTGATTTGAACTACCTCAAAAAAAAAAAATACTATTGTAACTAACAACGGTTATTCCACTACAGTTTTTAAACTGTCTATTTGCTATAAGGCTTTAACTTCCATCAGTTAAAGTTAGAGATTAAGGTTTAAGTTTCAAGTGCGGTTCTAAAGGACTTACTTGGGCCTTTAAAACTTAGCGCCGCCTGTTAGCGGGTCTGTGTTTAACTTTAATGTTCCGATTAGACCGGAAATTTGCTTCGTAAGACCTTGGATTAGATGGGACCTATTACTATTGAAAAGAGTCTTAGAGTTTTGTTATTAAACTGCCGTTTTTAATAAAGCTTGTGACTTATCTGATGGTGATGCAGTGTGTACCGTAGCCTAAGTAATTTTCCGATGGCCAGGAGACTGTCTGAGGGCAGAATCTTCCTGAAATTGTTTTATAAGTAATAGACTAATAGTATAACTAACTGCCTTACTGTTCCAAAAAAAAGCCATTAAATAACTCTGAGTACTGCGGTAAGCTATTACGAAAGAGTTTTATTATTTCGGTCAGTTTCCAACAGATTATACAAAGCAGTATCACCTAATTTGAGCTGAATGTCAATATGTTACTTGCAATTACCTTTGCGTCATCTATTATACTGACTGTGCCAATAGTTATAATATTTGCTACCATTGTAAGTACACTCTTTTACTGACAATATGATTTAAAATAACTAGTGTAAAGAAAAATATCTACAAATTATTGCAAGTAAAAAAAAAAAAAAAAAAAATTATACACAAGGAATTTATCCAAACATTTTAAATATTGACTTCGTAAAGCAAACAATATTACATTAAATGTTTGTACAGTTTCCTGTTACCTCGGCCGTCCTCATCCAATCTTATTTCTACTAAAATTATTTAACGGGATCTCCGCTTGTCAGCTGTCATTTTTCGCGCGCAAAATCTCCGCCATTTTGTCCAACGTTATGAACCCCCGATAATAGGATTACTTCTCTCACCGTGTTCATGTCACCGGAGCTAACTTGATTCCCTTCATTATTTATGTTCAAAATTGAACTGCATCGAAGGCGAGCTTATTTTATGCAATTTAAGAGAAGTGAAATATAATTGGAAGCATGCTAATTGTTACTGATAGGTGCTAGTCAGCTTGGAAAGCATCGAGATTTTTTAGTCTCTATGTATAAAAAATCGTGATTATTTAATATATTAAAGTACCAGTTGGCTTGTAAATTTATTTTAATCGCTTGTTGCTAAAAAGTCGTGTATGTATATTTTATATTTGGGTTTATAGTACATATAGTCATAGTAGGTATGCGAGAAAACGCTTGATCCTTGCATCTACCACTGGATTGCCTCTGCATCACCTAAAGGTAGACTGGTAGAGAATGCTCAATGCATAAAGTCCACCTGATGAATAACATACAGTTATCAATAAATGAATAAAAAAACTGACAACAGTTAAAGAAGTGAACATGTCATGTGTATGTAAGTTGTGTATGGAACGCACGCGTAGCGCGAGCGAGAGGTCCAAGCTGCGCTCCTTCCGGCCACTGCCATTCTAATAGTCGCGACGAAAACACTCAATGTTGTAAAACTTATAATTAGTGATTAAACAAGTATTTTACACAAAAGGATCGATCTACTTATTTATACCGTCCATGTCATTAACTTCAAGCGACTTACTTACAGAAATGTCTTGTCAACAATCATTACTTTCATACTTCTGAACTATCTACAACATCGACTTGAATTGTTGGTATAACAGACAACTAAGCTACTTATTCCTGTTCTCCTGTCGTTTCCAGAAAGGTACAAAATAATAACTTATGTATCGTTCTCGTTACAAAAGAGCTTATATTTTTGCGGAAATGGAAAATGTTGCTTGCTTCTTCTAGGACAAGAATTGCCTGATACGTTATGAAAATGATTAATATTTTATTTGCGTGCACTTTGTATATGATTGTTGTAAAATATTTAGATGCACGAGCTTTGTGTGTGGCTAGTCTGGAATACGTTTCATGTCATTTTGTAAAACTATGTTTTTTTATGATACGCTCGAAATTTAAAATAGAGTGAGACGTTTGGCGTTAGTTCCTTTTTTTCAGATTTATTATACCAAGAAGTTTATAACATTTTAAGTACATTTTAATCACAAGTACATTTTAATTGCCTAAATATTTTTTGAAGCTTTTTATTTGAAAAAGAAAACACTCAAGAATAAGGCAACAATTGCCAACAAACTGATATACAGTTTCGGAAGAAGTAAATTTGCTGATACAGTGAATAAACTATTTTTTACATTGAAAAAAAGGGTGAACATTCTTTACTACAATCTAACTAAAAGTAGTCACAATATTCCCAGCTATTCGTCTATTTATTTACAACCCACACACGAAAGAAACATTGCCCCAAAAAAATGGGGTCGTACAATTTTATCATCCATTTAAACCTCATCTTTGGCTCATACTTGACTTAACATCAATTTTCTTCTTCCTTTACTTATCGCGTTTGATCAAACAATCTCATATATCACGTGATCCCAGCCATAATTATTATACTGAAGCCCTTTTATCCTTGTACGTTGAAAGTAATTTTGAATAAAAATAAGTAACATTGAATAAACACAAGTAATTTTGAGGTTGTGTTGTGTGTTTTAGAAAGACGTGTCACATATCTATTATTTTTGTCTTCTTATCTCAATCCGATTTCGATGTTATTTCTAGATTAGATTTTATTTTACTTCATACAAACATAGGAATGATGGATTATTTTACAGGAGAAAGCAGAGTATTATAATTGTGATTTTCCAAGTAGCACTTTTTTCCATAACCTTGGTATAGTTTATTTTGGAAGTACTTAAAGGGCTTTGTAATGATTTCAATTTTTTTTTGTGGTGGACAATCTCCATTTTGGTGCCAAAATATCAATTTTATGATATCTCCCTTTCGGTGCCAAAATATCATAAAATTGATCATGAAAGGGAGTGTTAGACTCTCATTGACCCCTTGTCACTCACCCCTTTTTTGTGAGGGGAAAATCATCAAATGAGTGCTCCCGCCCAGGGCCGGGCGAAGGGAGAGTCAGACCCTTACTGACTAAAAATTCCCCTGCTCCTTCTCCTGCTCTGGGCCGAGGTCGCGGCGCCTCATTGCACCCCGCATCCCCGGCTGAATCTCCACCCTTGACAGTAGATCAAACATCACAGTTCCAGATACCTCATTAAGCCTACCAAGTACCACTACTAGCAAAGGACCCGAAATTACACGAGCACAAGTAAAGACGTGACGAATAGAACCTCTTACAAAAATACTTTTATTTACTCCTCTGAGCAAAGCCAACTTACAATTCTTCCCTATAACCAGTTTGTTACTATGTTAGCATGTCTTTTACGATTTCAGTGTAAGCTTTTGAAGTAATCGTTCCATTCTCAAGGGAGTTGAGAATCGGCTTTGTAAAACGAGTTTGTAAGCCAATAGATCTTGTTGTTCTTGCCGATTTCCTTGTTCCTCTTTACAGTGGTTTTGTAAATGTTTTACGCACATATTTCTCTGTTTGTTCAACTGTGTTTATTTTGGTTTTAGTTTCGTTATATAGGTATATTTTTTCGGTGTTTGACAAGGATAATTTTGTATGAAGGTGAAGAAGTTAGATTGGTTTTTTTTCGGTTACATTTTTAGTAATTATGTAGTGACTTTCGATTATTTTTTATATTTATAGGGACTACCTACTTGGTTATCATAAAAATATTCTTCACTGGAACAGATATTCTTAAGTTCTTAAGAATTAACGCCAATATCTAAAAAATTTTAGTATTCGTTAGAATACTAAGATTTTTTGTGCGATATCGTAACGAATACTTAATATATTCTAACGAATACTAAGATTTTTTGTGCGATACGACGTCGCACGGTAAACCAATAGACGTATTACCGGATGGTAAGCAATCTGTGCCCCCCATGGACAGCCGCAACAATAGAAGAGTTACGAGTACGTTGCCGAACTTTTGCAGATTAGGCTTTTGGAGATTTTGGGATTGGGGAGGGATTAGGGGAGGGGAAGAATTGGGCCCCCGGTAACCCCACTTACACAACACAACACTGTGGTTGTTTCATGCCGGTTTTCTGTTAGGCCTTGATATCATTCCGGTCTCGCCGACCCATTTGTGCCGAAATATGGCACTGTTTAAGTGTTAGCATAAGATTAAGTGTGGGATACTTAATGTTACAAGATCTTTCTTTGAGTTCTGTATATGTCATAATATGCTTTTATTTAATAACTAGCTACTCTCGCGCGGTTTCACCCGCTGCTCGGCTCCATTTAATCATAGCGTAATGTTTTATAGCCTATAGAACTCAGTAACATTGTAGCTATGTATCAGTGAACGAATTTTGGCAATCCGACCAGTGGTTCCAATGATTACCCCCAACATATAAACTTACAAACTTACTAATTTTACCTCTTTATAATATTAGAATAGAAAAAAAAAATGAACTGAATATAAAATGAAGACCAATTCTAAAGGCAAAGAAAATACTTTAAAACAACAATATCGGGTGGCCCATTTAATTTGAAACAGACATAAGAAATTTAGTTATTAGCTTTCATCAATTTAGTTTCATTTTATTGATAGTACCCTTATCAAAGGTCAAATAGAACAAATTAATTGATTTGCGGTTACCAAAATTCGTATTACCAAAGTGTTTGATTAATTTGAACGTAACTGATGAATTTAACTGTGGTGCTATTAAGACTGATGAGGTTCTTGTTATTTGGTCTTAGTTTACGTTTTGAAATTGTATAAAAAAAAAACACTACAGTTTTGTTTTGATTTTTAAATGCGAACTCCAACAATTGATACACATCATCATCATCATCATCATCATCATCAGCCTATAAATTGCCCACTGCTGAGCAAAGGCCTCGTCTCACACGGAGAAGGTTTGAGCATTAATCACCACGCTTGCTCAATGCGGGTTGGCGATTTCAAACTTACAATTAGAAATTTAGAAGAAAAAGTAAGTCCAGGTTTCATCACGATGTTTACCTTCACCGTATGTCAGTGGTGTCTAAATAATCATAGAAAGTACATATAACTTGGAAAAAGTAACATGGGTACTTGCCAGGTTTCGAACCCACACCCTCATGCATGAGAAGCGGGCTCCTTAACCTCCAGACCACCACGACACATTGATACACATAATACAATATCATCATCATCATCAGCCTGTTGTCGTCCACTGCTGGACATAGGCCTCCCCGATTGCAAGCCACTGAGCTCGATGTTCAGCTCTTCTCATCCAACCACTGCCGGCCACCCTGCGGATGTCGTCAGTCCACCTAGCTGGAGGGCGCCCTACACTACGTTTGCCTAGACGTGGTCTCCACTCTAGAACACGTTTACTCCATCGGTCATCGGTTCTTCGACAGATGTGACCTGCCCACTGCCACTTAAGTTTGCTAATCCTTTGGGCTATGTCGATAACTTTAGTTTTCTGTCGGATCACCTCGTTTCGAATACGATCCTTCAGAGAGACTCCAAGCATAGCCCTTTCCATAACGACTTTAAATTGGTGGATCAGTAGCACTGTAAGTGTCCACGTCTCGGCTCCGTATGTCATCACTGGTAGGACGCACTCATTGAAGACTTTTGTCTTCAGGCTTTGCGGTATCTTTGACGAGAATACCCGACTGAGTTTCCTATACGCTGCCCAGCCAAGCTGTATCCTCCTACGAGCCTCCCTCTCGAAGTTGTTTCTACCGAACTGGATAGTTTGCCCGAGGTAGACGTACTCTTGAACAACCTCGAGAGGAGATCTATTGATGGTGATCGGCTCCGGGAGAACATGTTCATTGAACATGACCTTCGTTTTTTGTAGGTTCATCCGGAGTCCGATGCGAGCAGAGGAATCAGCCAGGCTGTTCAGCATATATTGTAAGTCCTGCACGGTTTCAGCCACGATTACAATGTCATCTGCAAATCTCAAGTGTGAGAGATACTTGCCGTTAATATTTAGGCCCCGGCCTTTCCAGCGCAGCAGTTTGGGGGAAATAACGTCCCCCTGTCGTTCGCCCCGATGCAGGTGGATAGGTTCAGACTGCTGGTTCTGTACTTGAACGACCATAGTGGCAGCATCATATAGATCTCTCAACACTTGAACATACCGCCAGTCGACTTGGCACCGTTGCAAGGACTCCAGAACAGCCCAGGTTTCGACAGTATCAAAGGCTTTCTCGTAGTCCACAAACGCCAGGCATAAGGGCAGATTATACTCTTCGGGTAATTCGAGTAGACCATAATACAATATAATTTGTTTTTAAGCACAGTTTTGGTGGTCATGTGGTATCCTCCACTTATACTCCTGCAGTTAATAACTAGGTGTTTTTTTTTTGAAAATTATATTGTGTAAAGTTTGCTCTTCAAATTAATTAATTTATGATTTACTAGCTACTCTCGCGCTTTTTCACCCGCTTCTCGGCTTCTATAGATCTTCTATAGCACTCAGGAATATTGTAGCTATCTATCAGTGAAAGAATTTTGGAAATCCGATCGGCGGTTCCAAAGATTACCCCCTACATATAAACTTACAAACTTACAAATTTTACCTCTTTTTAATATTAGTATAGATATAATCAAGAATAAACAAATTGCCATATTAAGTTATCATGTCAGAGAGTAATCGCATCATATAAATGCTTTTCCGAGCAAAGCCTTCTTTTCACACGCATTAGTATTAGTTTGAGCATTAATCACACTGTTTCCTTCGGGTCAATTCCCGTTTACAAACTGGTTTTCTTTCGATGTTTTTCCTTTAGCATCTGTCAATTTTGTTAGAAGGAACATATAACTTAGAAAGAGTGGTATTTTTGCTTGCCGGTTTTGGACACGCTCTTTCATGGCATTTTACATTTGAAACAACATCAGTGATCACGTACCTATTTTTGTTACATGTGTCTCGAATTATTACGATTGATTAATAAATAAAAATAATATCAGAACATTACGTGATTACTTCGTAACAAGAAACTATAATATGAATTAATGTAATTTGGAAACTTTTCGTGTGTTGTGAAGTAATTTGTTGAATGGTTTCTTAATGAATATTATTTTTATGGCCGTAGTAAAATAATTTGATTGGTAGGAATTCGTGCTAAATTTCTTTATATATAATTTTATTTATTTACCTTGGTACCTACATTATTAATTTAATTCAGAGATGAACAAGTGTAGGAGAAGCAGGCTTCGGCGCGAACGGCCCGGTTAGACTGGCCTCATACCACGGCCATCCACCGCTACATCAGTGAGCATAGTAATCCGGCGTGATCATTGGTGTGACCGTGGCGAGAGAACTATTGTTTGGCACAGTATCCAATTAATGGTAACTGTATTTTGTTAAAAATAATAGCTTACTCTCTAAAAGTAACTATGAGAAGCTTCACATGCATAACTAGATGTACGCATCCGCGCTGCGCCGCGCGATGCTTATACATAATTCCGGTTGTGACTTAGAACTGTGAGTAATAGACACTTAAATAAGCAATAATATCCAACAAAAGTAATATGGCTCACGATAGTTAGGTAATAAACATTTTTTTTTAAATAAAAGCTATTATGATCATAAAATATGTCGCAACGCGTACAGTGCGGCCGACGTATCTTGGCGTGTCTGAAGTTAGCCGATTAGCTGCGCGGTATGCAATTTTGTTCCTAAGAGATCCATTGCGCAGACAAACTACTAACTTCAGACTCGCCAAGATACGTCGGCTGTACTGTACGCAATCTGCTCATAAGTAAGAGTCCCGTTGTGACTTGAAACTAGAAAAGTTTTCTATAGATTTTAAATTTTAAGTGTGGGAGAGCCATGCTTCGGCACGAATGGGTCGGCTCGACTGCAGTGATACTACGGCCTCGCAAAAATCCCGGCATGAAACAACCACAGCGTTGTGTTTCGCCGTGTGAGCGAGGTCAGTGTTGGCCCAATCCTTCCCCTCTCCTAAATCCTTTGCTCTCCTAAATCTCAAACCCTAAAAGGTAGGCAACGAACTCTTCCGTTGCGGGTGTCCATGGGTAGCGCTGATTGATTACCATCAGGTAATCCGTCTGCTCGTTTGTGGCCTATTACATTAATATACTCGTATGTCAATAATCGTGACAGTTTATGAA